AAATATCTATCAGATAGATAAACAGAAATGCCTTTATTTTTGTATATATGGATGTCAGTATATATGAATATTCATTGGATCGGGCCTGGCACAATTTTAACAAATTGGTCTTTAAACATTGATATTTTCAGGCTAATGCACTGCAATTATAAGACAGAATGCATTGATGTGAATGTATCGATGTGTATATTGTATATGAAAATTTAAATTAACAAAACCTTCAGTAAACGCATTTTCTTGCAATTTGGTGCCAGAAAATATGTGTTGTATATGAAGGCATTTTAATGTGCAGATATTTTTACATCTGTCACGCGTGTTGCATGTGTAGATTTTAATGTCTTGCTTTAATGAAATGTTTGGGAATGCGAACAGATTTTATTTGCTTGTATTAGCAGATATTTCATATTTTTCCTTTTCGTTTGAAATGATAGTAATTCAGATTTTTTCCTTTCTCTTTTTAGATATTCAAATAAATTATTTAACAAATGTCTTACCTACTGAAATACAGATATACTGATATTGGACACATGTCTTATTTGTCTGATATGCCTATATGTGTAGACACAGAACATCTGCTATCTATTGAAAAACTGTCAGAACTGATATAATTGGATATAATTGTGTGTAAATATTTCAACGGAAAGTTTGTATAACATGTCTTTAAATTACTGAATAAACTGCACAATGTTCATATGATTATTTTTCACTGTATTGAAAAGTGGAATTAGATGTCATAAGTTCTGGAATATGAAACTATGCAATATAATATTAAACGATTTTTTAAACAGATCTACAAAGATATTTTGTCACATTCAGTAGGCCTATAAAATTAGAAATTGCATATCGTCTGCATAACGAATTTCATGAGTTTCAATTTATTATTTTCTTTTTTCATTTCATTGATTCATTATTCATTCTTGTTGCATGGGGGTGTCATGACATGCAATATGCGATAGAAAATGTTGACACAATAAAAATATGATAACTGGACTCTGAACAAGGTTGCAACGCAGATAAAACAACAAAGATAGAGACGGATTGTTCAAGTGAATTTATTGTGATCGGAAGCAATAAATGTATAAAACTATTTGTTCACAAGTTTTTGTGTGGAAATGAATTGCTATATGATCATATATATATATATATATATATATATATATATATATATATATATATATATATATATATATATGTGTATGTGTGTGTGTGTGTGTGTGTGTGTGTGTGTGTGTGTGTGTGTGTGTGTGTGTGTGTGTGTGTGTGTGTGTGTGTGTGTGTGTGTGTGTGTGTGTGTGTGTGTGTGTGTGTGTGTGTGTGTGTGTGTGTGTGTGTGTGTGTGTGTGTGTGTGTGTGTGTGTGTGTGTGTGTGTGTGTGTGTGTGTGTGTGTGTGTGTGTGTGTGTGTGTGTGTGTGCATATACATATATTTATATACATATAGGCCTATAAGTCTATATATATATATATATATATATATATATATATATATATATATATATATATATATATGAAAAACTGAAATTAATCTAATTATGAAAACGTTCCCATTTCATTCACAAAACTGAATGCATAACGAATAACTTCCTATGTGACTTATTTTGTCATATTAGACAGGAATAATATCAAACGTAAAGAAACTAATACTTAAAAAATGAGAAATTAAATCAATTAATACCTTTATCTGAATTATTCCTTCTCATCGATACCGATTCACTACACAAGCCGCAAATACTAAATAACCCTCGTAATTCCAAATTACATTAATTAACCCTCTATTAAGTTTCAAATTACATTAATTAACCCTCTATTAAGTTTCAAATTACATTAATTAACCCTCTATTAAGTTTCAAATTACTTTGCGAAATCAAATGGTGCTTAAAACACGTACTAGTATCGTCTCCACCGTTTTTATCCGTATCGTCTGCTGTGGGTCGTCCTCCTCATCGTGCAAATGCTTTAATTGAGAGTTCCTGTAATCTTCTGCATCCCCGCCGATGTATTGGTTCCTCTCACCTCCTGCCACAGATATCAAAACCACAGCCAACAGACAGCTTATCAAACTGCGGTGAATCATTGTTGTGAGTCGATGCCTATGAGTCTAGCGCAAGTTTTATTTTTCTTCTCATTTCGTTTCCAGTTGATCGGAATCCTTTTTGCTTTTTTTTTCTCTTATTTAGATCTTCCGTTTCGTCAAAGCACCTTCACCGATCACGCTCACATCTCTAAATACTGTAGAACCGACACGGTAATCGCTTAACAGATAAGGAGGGGACGTTATCTTATCTGACGTGATTCTTGGTGTTTGGTTAGGACAGGTGGAGATATGCAGGTACACAAAAAAGCGTCAGTATCAGCCATGCTTTCCTGACAAATAAATAGATAAATAAATAAAAACACTTGAGATGGTCTTCGACTTAGGTGTCATCCTGTCTACCCTTCATTTCCAAATACACAAAGACACACATAAACACATACACAATGAAAACACGCACACGCATTTACACACGCCTACGTGGACGCACGCACACACGCAAACACGCACTCTAAAGCAGCCGCGCGGGCCTAGATGAGAGAGACAGAGACAGACAGATATTTATCAGGTGTTTGATTTCTCTTTACTCCTAGTCATCAAGATACTGTATATTCTTTAATACTAGTTGTTTCATTCTATAATCTTGGTGTTAAGTTCACAAGGTATTTATGTCACACACACACACATATATGTGTGTGCGTGTGTGTTTGTCAATACATACCTACATAATATTTACACACACACACACATAAAAAAAAACATATTTCTATAATACCTCTTTTCAAAATGATAATTACAATTCATTCATCTATAAAATCAGGAAAAGAACACACACGATAAGAAATAAAAATGAATTTATTTTCCTGTGATCAAACTATACATATAAAATTCCTGGAATCCAACATATCACCATTATACATAATAGAAAAAAAATATTCTAGTTGGGAAATACATCAGGGAGCAAAGTCTTTCTTGCTGTATATAATATTTTCTTATTTTCTTGCTCCATACCATAACACTTAAAAGATAAAAGGTTGGACGCATGTTAAAAATAAATCCAAACACCTTTATTAATTTACTCAGTTATCAAATGGAGTAAAATTTCCCTCAAATAATGAATGAGATATGAAATTTTTGTGAACATCTGCACCAAAATGAAATCTTCAATAATGTGGCTGCATTTCCATTCATGAAACACAAAACAAAGACAAATATTAACAATTTTATGGGACAAGAAATTCATTATATGTATGTAGATGTGCATCCGTGTGTGTGTATATTTCTATGTGTGTGGTGTGTTGTGTGTGTGGTGTGTGTGGTGTGTGTGTGTGTGTGTGTGTGTGTGTGTGTGTGTTGTGTGTGTGTGTGTGTGTGTGTGTGTGTGTGTGTGTGTGTGTGTGTGTGTGTGTGTGGTGTGTGTGTGTGTGTGTGCGAATGTGTGTGTGCGAATGTGTGTGTGCGTGTAAATGTGTGTGTGTGTGAATGTGTGTGTGTGAATGTGTGTGTGTGTGTGTGTGTGAATGTGTGTGTGCGAATGTGTGTGTGTGCGAATGTGTGTGTGTGTGAATGTGTGTGTAAATGTGTGTGTGTGAATGTGTGTGTGTGTGTGTGTGTGTGTGTGTGTTGTGTTTGTGTTTGTGTGTTTGTGTGTGTGTGTGTGTGTGTGTGTGTGTGTGTGTGTGTGTGTGTGTGTGTGTGTGTGTGTGTGTGTGTGTGTGTGTGTGTGTTTCTGTGAGTATTTCTATGTATGTGTTTCTATATAAGTGTGTATTTCTGTGTTTCTGCATGTGTATTTACGTATGATTGTGTGCGAATGTGTGTGTGAATGTGTGTGTGTGTGTGTGTGTGTGTGTGTGTGTGTGTGTGTGTGTGTGTGTGTGTGTGTGTGTGTGTGTGTGTGTGTGTGTGTGTGACGGTGAGTGAATGCATACATGCATATATATGTGTATATATATGTATGTGTATGTGTGTACACACACACACACACACACATGAACTGCTTGTATCACACACATAAATACATCTTCTTAGCAAATCTTTTCATTTAATATGTACAGCAGACGAATATCGAGACACCATAAAATGAAAGGCACGTTCGGGGGAGATAACACAAAGAAAGAGAAAGGTCGTGAAATACATCATAACCATCCGCCTGTTATCCACAAATCTCCTTATCACTTCTTATCAATCATTAGGTATTAATATAAATCTTTTTATTTTCATTTTTTTTTTCTTTTCTTATGGCTGATGAATGTACTGGAAGCTAGTACTTTCGATAAAATTATTCAAACTAATCATAGCACGTCAAACTTAGAAACAAAATATTTCCGAAACTCCTTTGCTGATTGGCAATTTGCAGTTTTATAAATCTCAACTAGATATTCCAAGGCAAAAAAAAAATTTTCGTCCACATATAAAAACCACGCACAAGATAAAACCAAAACCACGGCGAGACACCTTATGACAGCTTACAATTTTCCAGAGGCCAACTCGGCCATTATCGGGTTGTGCGAGTGTCGTCCTAGTTTGCAATCTACCCCTGCAAATGTCGCTAATAGAGAAAGAGAGTCCCTTTGACACAAAATTGTAGTTTTATCTACATTCATAAACATCTCCGATACATCAATATCATCTTAGGTCACTATAAATAGGAGATAGGTAACTGCTATTGTACTAGGTAAAGTGTCGGAGCACGAGACTAACAACAAAAGGAGAGGAGTACTAATATCATCTAATAATGATGAAAATCAACAACTATATTAATAATTATAATTATGTTAATCTTAATATAACACTAATAACAATAATATTAATGATATAATTATAAAAAAACATCAGTAATAATAACAATAATAATAATAATCATGATAACAGTAATGACAATTACAATGATGATGATGATAATAATTACTATAATAATTAAAATAATAAAAAAAATAATAATAATAACAACAGTAACATTATATTGATTATTTATTTAACAAAGCAAACAATAGAATAATAATAAAAGTTAGAAAATTCTCCTTCTTATTCTACAAAAGTCACGATAATACTGGAATGCACGAGACGGCCACCAAAACCAGTCATTCTTCTTGATCAAGGAAGGACACAGACGGCCATTAAAGTCAAACTTATTCTGATATGCACACTTCTGCGTTGCTTATATGCCTAAGAAGTATTCTAACAATAAATTAATAATAATATTATTCTTTGACATATGGCATATCTCATCTTCTGACGTAACTAATGAAATCAACAGAATAAAAAATAAAGGAAAGCATCATATCTTGATCATTTGCAGTTTTGCAATATTTTCTCACACATATCTGATAAAAAATAAGGAAAGAAAAAAATAATAAAATAAAAATAAAAAGCCACAACGAGAAACAGCTTCTGCTTTGCGCTAATTGTTTCTCAACCTCTCGGGATCCTCAGCAGTTGTATATTCAACAGTATTTAAAATAGAAAAATGGCAGTTTTCATCTACGGCAACCTTTGCACCTACTTACGTGCAGAAAAACAACCGCAAATATGAAGAGGAAAGGCTCCAAGATCTAATTACTTAAGTAGGATCTAAAAGGTCAATTTATCTTGCAATATTCATTATTTTATCATAATATTAATCAGAGGGTAATTAATTATCAAAATCATATGTACACCCTAATGAGTTATAATAACTAAAACATATCATAATAAAAAGAAAAGATGAAAAAATTGTCCCATGTATCTTAAAAATTTTATATCAGTGCATTTTTACTTATAGATATAAACTTCATATGTGCTAGTTAATTAAACCCCTTGAAGTTTGTGTAAACATTTCATTTTGTTTCAGAAAGAAATAGCTGCATGATAACTACACATATAGTTATCTTCAATGTTTTGTACTTTTTAAAAATTTTCCATTTCTGTAGCACCTCATTTATTTTTGAATCAGTTAAGTTTATGTCAGCAACTCTTCAATTCCAAACAGAACCAACTTATAGAGAAAAAAAAAAAGGTAAAACTAAATAGCACTAATTTTTGTTAAAAGACTTGAAACACATTATGAACCCATTTTACATCCAGATCAACCCAACATTTCTTACATTAACTACATAATATACCTATTTTAGGTTCTGCATGTTACGTCAACTAATTTTTTCATCTATCATATACACTCAGTAGGAGTAAATTGGAAAAAAAAGGTAAGGAAATCTATGGCAGGTTCTAATGCATTTAAATATTCACTGGAGTCAGCATTCTGACTACCTAAATAACCTAGACTACTCTATTATCAGTTACTATCATCACTATTATCATTATGACTAATATCATCTTTCAATGTTTGTGCATACTGAATGGACCTTCTTTTATGTCAAATGTTTTTGACTTTGGCACCACAAATAATCACAAAGGGTGCATATTATGATTGATTTGTTTATTATTCTTACTCCCGAGTGTTAAGATAATATCACAATATTCCTTATTGAAGTAGTTGAAGTTAAGAACCCAAATGTTGCATTTCCCACGACAGTCTTCTACACATCCTAACGGATATATAACACTGAAATTGTCAGAAGATCAATCACACTCTTTCCCATTTCCATTCATCTGATTTTTTTTTTTTTTTTTTATAAAAGTAGTGCTACCAAACTTCAAGATGTTGTAGACATAAATCAACAGAACCCTCAAAATCAAACATCAAATTTCATTACACATATCATATATATATATATATATATATATATATATATATATATATATATATATATATATATATATATATATATATATATATATATATATATATATATGCACACACAAACATTCCACACTTCAGTCTACATTCCAAGATATAAATTCATGCCATGATCCAAGTCAAAAGCCATTCCTTATCTCGTGATCTATAATACAGTACAGCAAAGAGAGGCTTAAGAAAATATTGCATTATGAATCATACACTTTCATCACAGCATTACGGTGTAGCTGTGAATATTCTGCTCTCTCTCCTTTTCAGATAAGAACTTTATATTTTTGAGAACTTGGCACTGCACTATAGCACATTATCACAGGTATTCCATCACTGTATTGCACATACATGTCTTGTCATGATTGTAAATCTAGGCGTCAACTCTGCTGCCTCTACGCATCAAAAGAGATGTTCTATAGAGTGAGCATTGTAGGAACAACGGAAACTTACTGCAGCTTTATATCAAGTAATACAGAAATCACCACGAACACAAATCGTCTAGTTAAACAGGACCATAAAGATCAAGATCCAAGTCGTCGTCTGTATCGAGGTCATCGTCGAGGTCGCCGCTCCAAAAGGCCACTTCTTGGGTGAAGTCCCCTAGGCTCCTCTCGGCAACCACTCTCATGTGACATTCCAATCTGACGACAAAAATGACAGCCTCTGTGAGATCCAATAAGCATTTTCCTCTGTTGGTTTAAAATGCCGCTAACTCTTGTGACTGATTAATCAGAAGCATATAGCAAGAAAATGCACACGGAAAAGAAAATTGAAGGAAATGCTGCACAGTCTACAGCATCAGTAACATTCATAATTTGTTTTTGTATAAATAATCGCTACTAATTCTATGGAATAAAAAGATTACCAAATTAGTAAGACTTACAGATTTAAAAAAATAAAAACTATAGAGCCAAATTCATCTTAACAATCTACTTGTGTAACTAATTTTAAAAAGAAATAAAATGTGAATTATGCTTGAAGTTTTTAAACATTATGTATAATTATTTAAAAAAACAGGTTCTTTGTTTGAATAAAAAAAATGATTTAAAGGCATTTTATTTACAATTATTTACGAGAATCACGTTAAAAGAATTTCAAAAAGGCCTCTACATCAGGCAGGATATCAACTCACATTTACTGAAAATGTGAAACCATCTGCTGAAAGTTTAGTCTCAGGTAGATGATTTTTTTTTTCTTTTGGTTTAAAAGTGGGGTTACAACAGAGGAAATATTAATGACAGAGAGGTTATTCTATAATCCTATAACTTTCCATATGATTAGTTTGAGTAGGAGAGTTCATTCCTGTAGCCCACAGGAGCAACTAAAACAGAGAAAACAGCTACCTTATGTGACGTAACGCACATCTACAAACGACACAAATACAACTTAGATACTGAACATGAATGTACTGCACAAAGACTTTTAATAATAATAATAAAAGAGGAAGAATAAGCAGAAGTTTGGGGTTCAACAGGACACCACAAGGCAAACCAGGAATTTGAGTATCATTACTTTGGCTTCAGAAGAGAGAAGTCCTGCAGAGTGCTTTGATCCTTTCAGCCTTCTGAATTACACGAATGCTGATGACTGAAGCTACTGCTGTGACAGATAACTTAAAATAGCCAGTCTTATTGAGTCACCCACTGTCTTATAGTATCAACTGTTTGGCTATGCAAGTACAGCATTTGCTTTTTTCACGTAGATGTTTTGGCAAATAAAAACTTATATTTCTTGAATCTTTTGTAACTAGTGTTGATAACTGTATTCATAATTTACTTCATTTAGTTTTTCAAAATCATGCTGATCTTTTTACTATTGATATTAAATGACTGAAACCAATAAAAGCAAAGAACACATGAAATCTATTACTTAAGTTTACACAAGGAGTATCAACAGCATCAATTTTATTCTCAAAAACAAGAAACAAGAAAGGAAATTCAAATCTTCCATCAAAATCTTGCTTGTAAATCTCCGAGATCAGTTCTATAAAAGGGTACGGATCACACAGCTCTATGCACACCTCCTTCCACAACTCCGTGTCCCCCTCCCTGGTGCGTTTACCTGGAGAAAGCGGAGAATGAGACCACTTCTCCTGGCGAACTGAGACCAATCCTTGCCCTGACACCTACTCACCACCACTATCACTATCACTGCCAGCTCCACCGTGATCATCATCATCATCATCATGATCATCATCACTAGGAGAAAAATATCACCGGATGCAAAGTGAGTTTCCATGCTAGATGAACTGACTTTAATAAAAGAGATAGATCACACTTCATTTTGAATTCCATTAAACAGTTTATCATACTATCACATGAAAAGACAATGGAATGTAAGATGGCAGATGAAGAGCTGCAAAGCTAACTGTGCTGATCGACTAAGCAAATAATAAGATAATTTCTGAGCATTTGACAAAACTGATAAAAAACTGTGTCCACAAAGCCTCTGAATTAAGAATAAGCTAATAAACATACATACGGGAAGCAAATATGATCTTAAAGAAGCACAGATATTAATACAAATGATATTCAAAACTGCTTTTCTGATACTAAAGGAATCCCAAATGAATGTGTCTGCAGAGAAAGAAAGAATAAAGTAGATATGAAAAAAGAAACTGAAATTAAACATTTTTTTAAAAGTTAGAAAAAGAGAGAGGCAGAATCTAGAATAAGCAATTTTTAGATGGCAAAGTTCTATATGTTGTAGATCTGCATGTTGTTAGGTGAAAAATAATAAATCAGTATGGATAAAATTAGCAAATTTAATGTGTCCAGCACATGGAGACACTCAAACTAAAACTCTATATACGCCTCTTAGAAAGTTGTCTAAGAAAAGCTCAACATTGCAACATACAAGAAAAGCAACTACTAAGATTCTAGAGAAAAGTAAATTGATAAATAGAGTTGACACCGATAAGCTAAGCACCCCATACCTGTCTGAATTAAGTCTGAGTCGTGAATTCAGGGCCTCAGGAGTCGAGATGAGGTAGGACAAAGAGACGCAAAAACCTTCTCCCGATTCCTGTAGCTGCTTTGGGCTAAGGTGATAGTTCTGAAAGACGATTCAAATACAGGATATATTGGTTTTATGCTAACTACAATTTCAGATGACTAATTTTATGCCAAATATCATCTAACATACTTCATACTGAGTCACCTTATAAGACTGTTATTACAATCTATCATGTTTTCTTTTATAACAACACTCTTTTGCTCATGATTAAGACAATAGGCAAAC